GTCTAGATTAGAGTTTTATTCCTCCCCTGTGACCAAGCTATTAAGCTTGAACATCTTGGTGCAGATTCTACAATCTGATCGTTAGGGCTGAAGTCTGGAGACAGGTATTGGTTTTGGATGTCATGCGTAGTTACACAGATGAGAACTTGTATAAGGGTGCAACCAAGAGGGGCTAGAATATGGCTGCACCCTTGGTCAAACCCATGGGGCTGTGTCTACCCAGTGGGGGCACCTTTTTCTAATTTCCTCAAAGGCACTATAAGAACTAGCTGTGGCACTGTCTGCTTACATTTCTCCAGTCTATCATTATTTCTTGAATTCGGTGAAATTTCTGTATTTCACAGCCCACATAATCTCCAAAAGGAGCTTTAGAATTCACTGAATCAGGGTTTTATGAGTTATCACATTAGTTATCACATCACAAAACAGCACAACCACAATTCTACAAAAGAATAAATTTACACAGTAGAAAATAAATATAAAAAAGTAGAAGTAAGATTCTTGACATGTGAGTCATTAGAACTTAGCTTATATACAACAAAGGCATGCACAACTAAACTCGTCAATAGGCTGAAGTCAACAGTTGCTTTCTAGGATGTTATCAAAGATACTTAGTCTCTTTAAAATGTGGCTGAAAATTATCTTTTTACATGAGTCTTATTCTGTTAAAAGACCAATCTTCTCTTAAAATGATAAGAAATCAAATTGCAAATGTCTTAAGACCACAATAACGTCTTAGTCTCCTCTTCCAATAGTAACTATTACCTTCAATTAGCTTATGTTCCTTCAGAGGTTGCTAGTATAAAATAAATTGATTTTCATACATCTCACATTGTGTAAAAGGTAAAATCAGGCATTTCACACCATCAAGCATCATGCTTTGATTTTAGAAAACAGGAATCACATTTGCTCAATAAAGTGTAAGCTTCCCCGCTTTGAAGTCCTTCTGAGAGCCATACGGCTTTTACCATTACAAGGCTCTTCTTTCTCATTAAACATGTGCTGTTTTCCAGTGAGATCATGAAGACACACATCTCCATTCTGAACACTGAAAGAAACCCCATTCCTCTCCGTAGAAGCATTCCCTGTATAAGGAAAAACAAAGTCGCTGTCATGAAGTAACCACAGAGAACACTAAAAAGAAAACAAGTGTAAAAATCATTTTAACTTTATATATGGACACATGAAACATATCTTTTAACATATTTACGGTATATATTCATATTTCATTTATTTTTTTATTCTTTCCCTAAGCCACTCAAAGTAAGCATGACAAATAGGAGACTGAGTCAGAAATAATTTTGCTATAGCTATGTTTTTAAAAATAAAATGGTTAAAATACGAAGCAAAGCAAGCTATTTTATTTTTAAAGGTCCATTTCTTAGTTCTGATTGAATATATTTCCTTCAGGTATATATAAAATAACCTAAAGTAATATTTTGGTGGGGCCAGGGAGATAGCTCAGTAGAATAAGTGCTTGCCTGGCAAGCACAGGGTCCTGAGTTCAATCCCTGGTACAAAAAAGAATTAGTTTCCTCAGAAGGCTGAGGTTAAGAGATACCCACGTGTACCCTTAAGGTCCTTGGTTCCCTAAGATTTCTATAAAATGAAACTTTGTATTAGCAGAGAAACCCAAAACAAACAGCTATGACCATCATGCAAAAAGAAATCCCCTCTCTTTAACTATCTCTAAGTCATTCTGTCTATATCAAGCCAGGACTGACGCAAGGTAGGACTTATTCCTAAGAGGAGACTATGGATTTTAACTCCAGAGTTCAGCTAGGGGGCAGCTGAGTCTTCAGTGGTTTGGACCTGGGCCTCCTATCACTCTGAGCAGGGCCTGGATTGTAGGAGACACTGACCTTGACTATTATATCATTGGGAGACCACGTAGAAAGCTGAATAAGCCCATTTGTTAGATGGTGACATAACTGCAAAAACAGTAATGATATTTGCACTGAGCACTTTCTAAATATTACCTCATTTATAACTATAGGGGATGGGTACTAATATTATCTCTATTTCACAGATGATGAAACTAAGGCTGAAGAAAGTGAGTGTTCTTCCATGGCTCAGAAGTGATGCAGTCAACACGTGATGATTCTGCTTCCAAATTGTGAGCTTGTGGCTCTGTGTGATGAATGATAAGCCTTTAAGGCAGCTGACATTGGATGCGTGTCATATTCATGCAAACAAGGTGGGAGATATGGTTAACACAGCTCCATCTGTGCCACAGCTCAAACAGGGCATGTGACTGAGGCAGCTGTTCTGACTTGGGCTTTTTAGTCTGAGGACATTTTAGTGCAAGAACAATTTGTGCCAGTATAATAAACAAACCAGCTGCCCATTTCTTTGAAACTGTCAATTCTATTCCTCATTTGTCCCAGATCCTTGTCCAAAGTCTGACAAATCAGGGATGTTCACCCCTGACATACATATTACATTCTGAAACAGCCATTCTGGTGACCCTAAAATAAACCCCTCCATCACTGTCAGGCATCAAAAATATCTGTGTCAAACAGCTGTGCCAAGATGTGCTATTTCCATCAAATATGATTCCTCAAAGGATGACAACAGTGCTGACAGAACTAGGCAGGTGAAACTCCAGGTTTGAGCTCTTTCTAGAATATGGAAAAATAAAATATCTGGTTATGGATGAAGAGCTCCAAACACACGAAACTTCTGGATGCCCCAGCTCACTCCTTTGGTTTCTCACCTTTCCACTTGTTCTTTCATACTGACTAGCAGCCAGCCTTGATTCCTACCCCCATTTACTTTATTTACCTGCACTGAGTTGTTCCTGAAATTGCAATTTGGCAAAGAGCCCAGAGCTTTCCTTCTGGCATTGACAGTGAAGATCTAAGACCATATGGCACAGTATCTCATCTTTTGCAGCAGTGGTTCCCAATAAGGTGTGAGTTTATTCCCTGAGGGACATTTATCAGTGGCTGGGGATACTTTTGGTTGTCATAATAGGGGGCAGTGCACAACTGCCTCTTATAGGGTAGAGGCCAGGAATGCTGCTTAATATCTCGTGATTCCACAAAACAAAATTACAGAGGCCCAAATGACAATTGTGCCTGAGGTTGGGAAATCTTGATTTCAAGGCATCCTATTGTATTTTAAAAGCCTAGTCATCTGACCATTCTGGGAGGCTGAGGCCAGAGATTACAAATTTTGAGCTCAGCCTGGACAATTTAGCGAGACTTGTCTCAAAATACAAAATATTAAAATGGCTGGTGAAGTAGCTTAGTAGGAAGGCCCTGGGATCAATCCCCTGTACTTCAAAAATACAAACAAAAAAGTCTGAACAAACTAACAGCCCCTTCCTCCAGTCATCAGAAGACTGGAAGACCATTTGGTATGAATGTTCTCACAAATTTATTTGAATTAGTCATGAAAAGAACTGATATCCTAAAACAAGGGGAAAAAGGCAAATTTTCCATAGAAAGATAAACTGGCAGAATTTAAGTTTTTATAAAATGCAAAAGATAATGTTAAGAAGCAGAAGGCAAAAACTGGTACGCTTTTATGAGTAAAGAGGAGGCCAGTCTTATGAAAGAAAGAAAATATAATGAGGTTTTAGCTAGAAATATCAGGATTAATGAGTAAAGGAGGCATAGCAGCAATAATCTCTTCGAACATAGGTGACATACATGGTAACCAATGCTGGTCACAATTTATCTTCTAGTATTTGATATATTCGTGGGGATTTGGTTGTTGTCACAAGGAAGCCACATTGTGGGAAAGAATTAAATGTGAAAAGTGAAAAACAGGAAGGTTTCAAGTTTTGGACATATGTACTATTAAAGTTGTAATAAAACCAGATATAGTCCTAGGGACTATTTTAGGTACTGCTCTCACAGAAGTATCAGAGTAGTGACATCTTTCGGTGATATTTAAATTAGGATTTGAAACATGAAAACATTAGGTCATCACCAAGTCTCACTACAAAAAATGAAATCTTAGTAAATGTGCAAATTTTGCTCTAAAATAAATATTTTGGGTTCATAAGCTTTCTCTTTTATCAGGTAACCCCATTTTGATCTACTGGTCATATATATAATTACTCCATTTGCTTTGCAAAAGGATCACTAAAGGATAAAACTTTTAAACACTAGCTTGAAAAATACTATATTGAGACATACATACCATTCCCGCTTGCGTGTACTGAACAATCATGATTCACTAGCAGTGTGGTGGAGTTAGTGGAGTTACTACTTGACTGTAAGGAATTTGAAGAGCTGGATACTCCTTGGTTTACAGTCTGCTTCTTTAAACCATTAGTAGCAGTTTTACTCCAGTCTACAGCAGAATAAGCATTACAGAAAAACAGGGCAGTATGTTGAAGCTCAAATGCAAGAGACAGATTACAGTGTCCTAAGTTCTAACAACTGATTTCTCACTTCCAGATCTTACAGAGAAGTCACACATTTCATAGGTTGGTGTGATAGAAGGTACTTTTACTCAGACTATATAAGTTTGTTCTTCAAATGACTGCCTGGTTCAAAGTAACTTATATTCTCCTAAAACTAAAAGTCAGGGGCCAGGGAGATGGCTCAGTAGAATAAGTGCTTGCCTGGCAAGAACAAGGGTCTGAGTTCAATTCTTGGTTCCGAAAAAAAAAAAAAGAAAATACTAAAAGTCAGGCTAATTTAGATAGGAATTCAGAGTCTCCAGCTGACCTAAAAAATATAAATCAATTGTATTGTAATATCTGATCATTCTCGACTCCATAAAATAACTGACCTCTGCATACTGCCATTGTCTGAGCACACAGTCTGGTGCCCCCAGGTACTGTAAAGGTATACTGTATTCATGCAAAAAAAATCCAGCCTTTTCAAATAGTACTTCCTTTTTCATATTTTCTAAAAATAAGCTATTTGCTCTACTATCCAACAAGGCATAGGTGAAAATAACTTCAAAATAACTTTGTGTGTCAAAGTTTATATATAAAATCTGGCCAGCTAACAAAGAAAGCAATGGACAACCAGAACCTGTAGAGGAAGGGTTGAGTCAAGCTAAAGAAGTTATGAAGGAAAATATGAAACAATTACTTTGGGAAACAAAAAACATGAGCTCAGTAAGAAAAAAAACTAAAAATGTTGCTTCAGGCAAAAAGCAGCCAGCCCGTGAATTCAGTTGCTCACAAGATTCTCAGATATAAACAATGATTTTTAATTCAGTAGGTTTTCTTTCTCCTAATGTTCACAACTAATATTTTCTGTTGTGTAGATTCTGTTTCCTGATTTTCAGATCCAATGACCTCTTGGAAATGACTGCCTTGGCTCTCAATTTATACATCTTTTCTCTGAGATTTAAGAGGAAAGAAATGGTAAAACTTTACCAGAATTTTCAGCCAGCCGTAACTTTCCACAGCAAAGGTACCGCCTCCATTGCTTCCTGACATTCTCTTTTGCTACGCAGTAGAAGATAAATATGAAAAATCCTAAAGGGGAAGAAAAGAAGCATAATGCAATGCATTTTAAATTAAGACCTGAATGTCATATGCTTATTTTGCATAAAGAATAAAACTGTTGGCAGCTATGGGCAGAGTGAAATTGTGCAAATTGAAGCTTTTTATGGAAAAGCACTGAGAGTATGCCCTTCCTTTTAAGCTTTGTAAACTAAAGGATTTTTTTTTTTAAAAAGAGTAACTTTACATTTTTGAAACTCAATTCTTTGTCTTCTGACATTTGATCCATGGCCCTTTCTTGTTTTCCATAGAATCTTAGAATCCCAGCCATAACCTCGGCTCCTATCTTTCCCTTCCTCTGGATTCAGAATTAATTTCTAAATTCTGTTCAGTGTCATCATTTCCAGTCTCACATCCCTGTCTCCTAGTGTCCTGCCCACGGCTGGGCTCCTTGCTTGGGCCTTCCCCCACATGTAGCAAGCCTGAGGGTTGTAGTAATGGGGAAATCTACTATCTCCCTTAGACCTGCTCAAGGAAATTCTCTGATGTCCTGACAAAGAGAGCCAGCTTAAATCTTGAAGGGGCCCTTGGACTCCATCTCCTGTCCCCACCATCACTAGTTATACAGTCTACAGCTTCCCATACACTCCCATCTCTGCTATTCCCCCAAGGCTTTTGCCACCACTTACTCAATGTATGGATAATTTCTGAGCTTTCTCTCTCCCCTCTACACTTCATCTAGTTACTCTTTTTGTTTTTGTTTTTGTTGTTCAGTACTAGGGATTGAAACCAGGTCACTGCACTGAGTTATATCCACAGTTTTTTTTGATTTTGAGACAAGGTCTCTAATCACTAAGTTGCCAAGGCTGGGCTTCAACTTGCTTCCTTCCTGCCTCACCTTCACAGAGTGCTGGGATTACAGGGACATACCACCATATCCAGCTGTCTGTCTATTTTAGATTTTAAAACACTAGATTTGCTTCTTAACATACACTTGACCACTCTCAGGACTACTGTGTAAATACAGCACACCGGTTCTCAAACACCACCCTGTGAGGCCACCCTTGGTTGCATTAGGGGAGAAACAAACACAGACAAATCAGAATCAAAATCAGGATCAATTAGTCAATCTGTCTTTTTTTTTTGACCTTGGGTTCTTGAGCTTTTCAAGAAGGTGCTTATGATGCTGAGCTATCTCCCTAGCCCACAATCTGACTCCTTTAATTAACTCAAAAGCATTGTTAATTAGATATAGAAGTACCCATTCATACCATAATGAGAAGCTATTCTGGGGGCATAAAGAAAAAGGCGCAGGTTCGCTTTCCACATTAAACTCATGAAATAGGTACCTAGCTTTCATGTTACTGACTAGTGCGATTTGGGTGTATTTTTTCTTTGTTTATAATTTTTATTCATTTTAATGAGAAAAAGATAAATTAGCAATGAAACGGTTTCAAAACAGGTTAATAAGACATTTACAATAATTAATACATCGCATGTTGTTTTTTCTCTTAAAGTGCCTATTTTAGTATGCCACTGTTGGCAAATAAAACTCTTCTCAAAACTTACAAATAATTTGCTTGGGGAGTGTTGTAAGTAATACTATATAGTGCAAAACCAACAATATACTAATTCAAGAACTTGTATATTACAGGTAAAAATGAACAATTATATATAACTAACAAGCATATTTCTGACCCCATTTCTCTGGTATCAAAAAAGATTTAAAAACCCGAATAACAAAATTATGTATCTGAATTTCACCTCAGGGCGGGATTTCTTTGAAAACCATTAAAATGACTGATGGAAGTAGTAGATGGGGGGCACGATGGGAGCTAAAAGTAACAGGAGAACAAGCAGAGCAGAATAGGGTGAAAAGGCAACCCAAGTGAGGATGCAGAGTCAAAGCAAGCCAAGTGACAGTGAATTATTGTTCAGTAATTAATATAAACCTACTGTTTGCTAAAATAATCCTATTAGCCTCACTGGGCCTTGCCAAAGCACTTCCATTAAAAATGAACATCAGACAAGCCTTTTATAACACTGCTGTTCTGCAAATTGGTGATTTGCTTTTCAATACGATGGATCCAAACTGAGGTAGCTGGGCTTTGGGTGCCTTATAGCACCTTGCCCCCACTGCTACCTGGCCAACTCTACAACTTCAGAGTTAACCTCTGGGCAAGACGGCTGCCACTTGGGTCTGGTTATTGCCTTTTTATTTATCATAGTCTCCAAACCAAACACTGGTGAGAGTCATGAATCCTCACAGGGAAACTTCTGGTATGTGAGTTGTACTACACAGAGGATCTGTTTCAAGAAATTAGTTTAAAAAATAAAAAGAAGGAACAAACTGAAAGTTGACTAATTGGCTCTAAACAAGAGTTCCTGGTAGGTTCCCCTCAAGATAGTTTCTCTGAGAAGATAATGATGGATAGAGAGAGAGAGAGAGAGAGAGAGAGAGAGAGAGAGAGAACTGTTTCTTGAATTTAGTGAATACCTTTCTTCCAAGAATCTCTAAGCCTTAGTTCTCTGCAATAAATCTGTCCTGCAAGAAATATATCCTAAGCCAGTAAATGAGCCACTTTGTAGAGCTTACCTTGCAAGGTATTAAAGATGGCAAAGAGATACATAAAGGTGATATTTACTGGTCCCCAGGCAAAGAAGGCAAAGCCCCAAGTAATTCCCAGTAAAAATGTAAGGCCAGCAATACTCCTGAGGTCTTGAATGCTGGTTTTTCGCTGGGCTCCCAATTGTTTCTTCTTTTTAATTCGACAGAGCTGAACCAGGACAACAATGAACATGCTGACATTCAGCAAAAATATCACACAGAAATATCCCACAACTGTAATATAGAATACTGCATTGTTGTTGATCCAGCAGCTGGAATTTGAAGGGAAGAAAACCAGGGGAAAATACATTACAATGATGAAATAATGTTACAAAGTATATACTGAATCTCTAACATTTTACTGAAACATTTTCTAAAAGTATAAGAGAAACAAAATGATAAAACCAAAGTGCTGCACGGGAAAGAATCTAAGGCTTTATCTTAGAACATTTAATGATTACAAATACTTTTAAAATATATTTTAAACATTCAGTATTTCACCTTTATAAATCCCAGCAATTATATTTCATGAGTTTTATTAATAGAATGAATATAATTCTCCCTAATTCATATTCTTCCTCAAAATAGTTTCTCCTAATTTGTTACTGGAATTGTAGCGTGTCATTTCTAACTAGCTTACCTCATTATGTATGATGATGAAAGCTGTTGTCAAGTATGACCAGTTTTATTAAGATAAGAGCTGAAATCAAAACACTGGTTAGATCCTCTCCTTGGAGAATTTAATTTTTCAGTTTGCTTAACATTCTCAGAATGGGACAGGAGGGGGAGCGCTTTGTACTCACAAGTCATCTGGTGAGCCATTGGGGAATTTCCCATAGGATCCAAGCCCATAATTGTCTGGGGATATAGTCAGGACAATGGCCACAACTACAGCTGGTATGCCTGGAAGATGGGAAACACAGGTCACTCATACTTCTGACAATGAAGGTGGCAAAAAGAAAGATCAGAGATCTTTCTATTTTCTTCTGTGTCTTTGCAGAGACTGGCTTAGCCATTCACTAAATCAGTTATTTTTCTTCTTTGGCACATGGCTGGAGGCTCCTGGCCTCTCTTGGCAGCCAGGTATTCATGGCTACACCACTAAGTTCTGTCCAGTAGGATACAGTTGGAACTATTTTTTTTTCCACTCCAATTCTGCCCCAATAGAAGCTTACTATAAGATCTTCTGCTCTATCTTTATGCCCAAATTCAGAGATACCTTGAAAGCTCATCTTGAGGCAGTCTTATCAACTTAGATCCTTGAATAAGCACAAGAGCAGAGATTCCTCTCTGCCCTCAAACTGGAATGCATATGAGTGAGAAATGATATACTGAGACTTGAAGGCAGACTGAAAGATTTTGTTATGCCAGCTAGTGTTATTTGAGCAACTCCTGATAAATGGTTCATTATGAAATGAAAAGTTCTCAAATGATTATTTGGAACCTGGATGAACTTATTTTTCCTGGATAATTTCAGGATAGTGACTACCACTATGCTGGTGTTCTCAAGGGCCAACAGGTATTTAGAGGAGACACGGTGTTTTCTCTGATCTTTTTTTGTTTATTTGTGACAGTGAACACTGTATTTTTTTGTTTTGTGTTGTTCCTGTTCTTTCTCTTTTGTTCTTTCCTTCCCTTCTGTCTGTTTCATCAGTTTTCTGAAGCTTGAGAAAACTTTCTCTGACCTTCAGCCTGGTTTCTAATCTCTTCTTTTTAATTTTTCTATTTTTCCCTCTTCTTCATTTTAATTTTCTCACCTTAGGGTAAAATTGAGTGGATATTGATTGTATGCAATTTTCTGATTTCTCTAGATCTTGTTATATAATGATCAATCCTTTTTTTTGGGGGGGGCGGTGCTGGGGATTGAATTAAGGACCTTACATTTGCCAGGCAAGTGCTTATTCTACTGAGCTGTCTCCCCAGCCCCTGTCATTGTTGATTGTACTACTTCAGGCAAGGTAACATATTGCTGTCAACTGCTCTTCCTTATATGTCAATTCCTAGACTGTTTGGGGGGACATAAACAATACTATAGACCAGTACCAAACAACTGGGTGTTAGGCAAAGCAGGATACAACCTTCATCCTTAATAAACATTGAAAGGGCTGAGATAGCTCAGTGGACTAACGTGCCTGCATAGGCAGAGCACAGCTACTGGAGTTCAATACCCAGCATGCTTTGCAGGGCCCTGCCCACAGGGCACACTGAGATGATAATTGAGATGGCGGGGTGGTTCGCACCTGTAATCCCAGCACTTGGGAGGCTGATAACAGAAGGATCACTATGAGTCTGTTCTATGTAGTGAGACCCTGAACACCCTGTAGACCTTGTACCCAAGACATTAAAAAAAAACATATAGAAGGCAGAATTTTGGGACAAGCTCCAAGGCCAAGAGCAAGGTACTTCTACAAGACATCTCTGAAAAGTAGTCATTTCCTAAAGTTTTGATACTAGTAATAAAGCTATCTGCCATAAGCAACTTACAAGCATCAACACAGAAAACAAACAGAAAGAAATAGAAAATGAGAAAACACAGAAGGAAATGCAAACCGAGACCACCAGCTCATCAAGGCAATGGCCACTAGCTCATGCCTCTAAGGAGGCAGTGAGATGGAAAAAATCAAAAGCTACCCAGCTGAAATTTCTGAAATGGTAGTAGTGGAAGTAACAAAGCAGATGAATTAGTCTCTAGAAAAGCACAAAACAGAAATAGTCACACAGATATTTAAAGAGATAATGATCATAACGAAGAACATGACTAGTGAGTAGAGTACATAGAGATTTTGGGGAACCACTGGGACTTCTTTAAAGCTCAAGGAGATCTAAGGATACCTAAGAATGTGACTCTGCTTGCCTAATGCAGGCACACAGTGGGAAACAGTTATGTAACCATGACTTAGCACAGGTAAACATTCACATGCTGTTTACAGCCCTATGTAAGAATGTAAATACGAGATAAGAACCTGTATAAGAATTATACAATAAAGATATAAGCAACTCTTGCTCTGGCTGTCTGCTCTGCTCCATGCTGCCTACTGTTGTTGCTGATGTCTTGCACACATGTTTTCTTTAACCTTGGGACCTCACCTGGGAAAATCTCTCTTGGGCCTCCTGAGTGAGGCAACACAGATTTAAAAAGGGAGGGGGCTTAGGAAAGTGATGGAAACCATAAAAGTCCAACATAAGAAAGAATTGGATTCCATAAAACAAATTCTAATGGATATATAGGAGGTTGAAAATTGCATTAAAAGTATATGCAGCAAAATAAATCAATGCAAAGACAGAATATCAGATCTAGAAGATAGGGTTGTAGTTAGGAATTATCAAATGAAAGATTTCTTAGAAATAGCAAAGGGTGAGCTGGGGAGATAGCTTGGCAGTCTAAGTGCCTGCCTGGCAAGTACAAGGATGCAGGTTCATTATCTGGTACTAAATGCTGTGTCAGCCCTGTACTGAGTTGGCCACTGAAACCAGGCATGGTGCTACACACCTGTAATCCCAGCACTGGGCAGCCTGAAACAGAAGGATCACTATGAGTCTGAGCTGTGTAACAAGACCCTATACCAAATAAGTAAATAAATACAATATTTAAAAAATAGCAAGGGACCACATAGAATAAATCCAACAGCTTCTAGACAATGCAAGGAGGAATACTATAAGATTAATTGGAATAAATGAAAAAAATCAAAAGATGACACAAAAACTACATTAACCATGTTCATAGAGTAGAGGCAGAAAACTTTCTATAAGCATAGAAAGAGAATTTGATATACAGTAATTGAGGCATATAGAACTCTAATTAGCCATGATTAGAAAGAAACTATACCAAGCCATGTAATAGTCAAGATTCCAGAAATTCAATACAAGATCAGAACATTAAAAACTTAGAGAAAAGAAACAAATCACCCATAAAGGAAAATCTATCAGAATTACAGCAGACTTCTTAACACAAATCCTTAAGTCAAGGAAGCTTGGAGTAAAGTATTCCACACCCCCCTCCCACAAAAAGTAATCTCCAACCTAAATTGATGTAACGTGTTTACAGCCATACCACCCTGAACGTGGCCGATCTCATCTAAATTGATGTAACGTAAAAAATTATCTTTCAAAAATGAAGAAATAAAGTACTTCCATTATAAAGAACAACTGAAGAAATTCATGACCACTGTGGTGGTTAACTAATGGTCAACTTGCAACACCCAGCTAAATTGAATCAGTGTGGCTCTGGTATGGAAAGCCTATCTGAGGATTGTTGCCAATAAAAATAAAAGGAGGGGAAGAATCTGGTGCTCTTGATTGTCTTTGAAGAGCTTCTCATGCTGGCTTTCCTGATATGAACTCAGGTGTTCTCACTGTCACAGGAGCTTGGATACTCACTGAGGCTGAGGATAGCCCAAGTTCTTTTGGGGGGAACTCTGATCCTCACTTTGAGTATCATTTTCCGGCTCCAGTGCAAATTCCTTAGCATTTTGCCACAGATCCTTTATCCTGCTGGTGCAGAATTGCTATCTTCCACCACTGACCTTTAGGGCATTCCAGTGCAGAGCCATGCATGATACAGACTTGCATGAGACATTGTTGTAGACTCTAGGCCTCCAACTGGACTCATACAGGACATTGTCATGGGCTCTAGGCATTCAGTTGGATTCATACAAGACATTACCACAGGATACAGGTCCTCAACTGGATTCTTTGTGTCTCTAGCGTGTGGACAGATTGTTTACACTCTTTTTTTATTTGATATTTTGGGTGAATATTATAAAATAATCTTATAAATTATGTGTGCTATATTCAGTCCTTTCCAATTTAAAGCCTGACTAAAACAAGAACCAAATTAGCATTCCAAAAATTCTGAAGGATATTTAAGAAAAAGACAATGAAGACAACAATTCCAAGAATTTCAATAGAGTGCATATACTAGGCAAGGCATTGAATAAAAAAGAAAGGAAAACAAAAGGAATCAGCAGCAGGAAAATAATATGATGACAAGGATAAGTCAATATGTATCAGTTTTAGCCATCCATGTGAATGACTTCAATTTACCAGTCAAAAGAAATAGATTGGTAGAATGGATCAAAAAATAAATCCAACAATATCTCCATCAGAGAAATATATTTAACTCAAAAATAAACTCATAGACTGGAAGTCAATGGATGAAAAACAATATTCCATGCTACAGGAATCCTACTCCATGCTGTAGGAACCTGGAAAGAAGCATGGGTAGCTATTCTACTTGTAGACAAACTAGATTTCAAGACTGATTAGAAGAGACAAAGAAGGTCACTACATACTTGTTAAGGGAACAATCTAAGGGTAAAAAATAACAATCATGAATGTATATACAGCAAATACCAGTGCAGAAAAACACTAATACAATTGTAATGGCAGACCTCAATATGTCACTGTTACAAATAGACCAAGTAGATAAAGTTAATAAATATCTGAGCTGAACCAAACTTTTCAGTAAGTATAATTAATAGCTATCTGCACAGTGTCCCACCCAACAGCAACAGAATACACATTCTTCTCAGCTGCACATGGAACATTCTCCAAAATAGACCACATACCAACTCACAGAATATGCTCATGTAAATGCGAAGGTACTGAAATTATCCCATGACTATTATGATATCATAGTGCAATTAAATTGGAAATAAATGACAAAAGAAACCACAAAAATTACATAAACACATGCAAATTAAATAATACCCTCCCGAACAACCAATGAATCACATATGAAGTTAAGGAAGAAATTAGATAGGTTTTTAATTAAACAATAACAACATCCGAGAACTTATGGGATGTAAGGAAATATTATAATGTGGAATTCCTACATCAGAGAAACAGAGCAAGCTCAAATAAATAACCTAATTTTGAAGCTCAAGAGCTTAAGAAAGAAGAGC